TTTTAAAAAAAAAAAAATACTTTTAGGAAACCTTTCACAGGAAGAAAAAAAAAAAATTTCCATAATAATACATTTTAGGCTAAAGTTGAATAAGCCTACCATGCTACCCATGCAATTGGCATAAGATAATTGCATGTTAAAAAAATAATATATTTCTAATTCAGTATGTAACGTTTTTATAAACAAATAATAATAAAAAATAAATAAAAAACAAAATATTATCTAGGGAAATGATCTAACCATCAAATTATTCAAATTCAACCTATAAATTTACCTATATTACGATTTATTATCAATATATCAATATCAAAAAAAAAATTTATTTTGTGTCTCATAAACAGTAAACAGGTTTTAGTAATGATCTTACAGGGATGGATACCAAGGAAATTTGTGTTTAATTAATTGAATTTTGATAGATTTTTTTTTTTTCTCAAAGTAGTATTTGTATGACGCAGTAATAACTAGAATTTTACTTGATTTATGCATGCTTTCAACTTAAAAAATTACGTGAACTTATTTCCTTAAAAAAAAAAAAATTCATATTAGAGTTCAATTAAATATTAATCAAATATCCATTATGACCAATCTTAAAAATACAAGTTTTTTTGATATATTAAAAATTTCATTATTATTATCATTATTATCATTTTTAAAGTTTTAATACGTTACACTACAAAATTTTTTTTTAAGTAGTACGATATTTAGGTTTTATACCCTGCGTAAAGAAAAAATTTTTGAGGGTAAAAAAAAAATAATAATGGGTTGTTATCATACTTATCCAATTATCATAATTTTTATTTATGAAAAAAAAATTTTCAACGAATAAGAATTCAACGAGAAGAAAAAGATTCCATAGAAATAAATGATCATATAAAATCTTGTGTTAAAAAAAAAAAAAAATTGAAAAGGCGGAATTTCTTCTTGTTCAAACATTCAAGGACTGAGTTAATGAAGGACAATTGTTCATCTTTCGATTGTATTTACGATTTAGCGTAACTTTTGTGAGCGTATAAACATAAAAATCACATTCCCAATAATTTTTACCCCAAGAAGAAAGGAAAGGAATAAAGTACGGGATGATTAAATAAAACAACATTCTATAATTCTATGATTCTTATTGACCTCATTTGTACTTCCAAATATTTTAGAAAAAAAAAAAAAAAATATATATTTTTTTTTTCCCTTTTTTTTTTCTGGAGATTACAGAATTTCTTTCCGAAAGTTAATAACCTTCTGACCTTGGATTCGTCGTCATTGTATGATCTTTCTCATTTGGAAATTCAGGAGTAAAAAAAAGACGTGAAACATTTAATTGAGTTATTAGATCATAATAACTGGTTCATGATTGGGTATAGTAATGTATAATGATAAAAGGATATGTGATGTATTATTGTACAAACAACAACAGCGCGTGGTGCGAATTCTTCGGCAATCTCCAATAAATATATCATGTGCATGAATGGGATATCAAATGTTTCCTAATCACATAGAATGTTAAAGTAGATCATTTCTTGGGTCACGTGGAATCGGAATTTCTGAATAATTTTTCCCCGAATAACCGCTTTTGGTTTTACGTAAAAAAAAAAAAAAAAAATTAGTAAATAAATAAAAATTCTTTTTTAATTTTTTTAAGAAGAAATGTTCTTAATTATTCTTAATTGATTCTTAATTATATTATGCATTAAATATTGCCAATAGCATTATAAATTTTGGTTTTTTTAAAAAGATTCCCAATAAACTTTATTAAATCCAATAAATCCAATAAATGAATAAATGATTCCCCAAAATTTATTTTGATGTGATCATATAATGTAATAATAATGTAATAATAATGTAATAATTAATAATGTAATGATAAAAAAAAAAATGTGAAATGTCTCGCAACATTATAGATTTTTTAAGGAGAAAAGAAAATTTTCTTTAAAGTGGTTTCCCAACATAAAAAATTTCACTATATATATACCCATATCTATACTAGAAAATTTTTAGACGAGCATTTTTTCGCTTTTTTGTTTATAACCATAAAATATCATAAACCATTCGTAAAATGATGATGAGGGTAACAATCACAATAGGCAATTGGTGATACCATTGTGGTTCTGCATATTTATTGAAATTTCATTCTGGGTCCTAGGGAGTTTATGTTTTATGTATGGTATGCGCAAATAAATGTGTGCATGCTCATTTATGACATTGAGAATTTTTTTAAATCATAGAATGAAATATGTTGCTCTGTTTTCTGCGCATTATACATTTCTCCACTGCATATTTATTTTGAATTATAAACATTTAATATATAAAGCGAGATTTCTAAATTTAGTAAAACCTACACAAAATATTTTGATAACCAAAGCGAAAAAATATTTCTTTCAATAATTTCTACAAAAGGAAAAAAAATATTCACAAATATTTGGTTTACATAAATCCATCTATATAAAATTAGGAAAAGTTAATAGTTTTTATCCAATGATTCATACAAATAAATTTTATATAATATTATTTTTCATTTTTTTACAGTGATTTTTTCCTATTAAAGTTCATAAAAGAAATTTTTTAAATGTAACACATATCCTAATTGTTGTTTCTATGAACCAATGTTTATGCATTAGAATTTTTTGTAAATCAAGGAATGTTTTTTTCTTCTTATTTATTAATATCAATTTAGAATGTTGCTACCGTATTGAGAATTTATTGAATTTATTTATTTTACAAATTAGAATGAAACTTCTTTGATCAATAGAATATCGTTTTAATGAATGATTTTTTGATAAAAATCATCAAGATAAATTGATAATAAAAAAAACTTGTTTATATGATAATGTCAGCATCAGGGTCCTTGTAAAAAAAAAACAAAGTTTTTACATAATAAAATATTTTTAATACAGGTTTCATATTTTACCTATTTTTAAATGCATACATGTATCGCGATATAGATATGTACGATATAGTTCGTACCTTGTTGTTTATAAATGTTTTTAAGCAGCGGTTATTATTGACGTAAAAAAAAGCAAGGCATTATTTACGCGTTGATTTATTTTGTATAAACATGTGATTTTGTTGATTGCAGGTGAATAAAGAAAATTCAAAAAATTTTTTCTTTATTATACAAAAGACCGCAGTCCCGCAGTAACGTAGTTACCAGATTTTTCCGAATTTATATGTATGAAGATCTTTTACCATCTTTACCATCCAATCCATCCAATTAAAAATTTGTGTGACAATCCATAATAAAAACTTTATTCTTTTTTATCCCCGGTCTAAATTACAAACTAAAAACTAAAGATTTTTCATATAAACAATAAAATTGATTTTCAAAGTGTTTTTTTTTTAAATTAAAATGATGGATTTTCAAAGTTTTTGAATTATTAATTATGATTTTAGTAATGAATATAATATTTGTTTAAAATCTATTTGATTTTTTAATTGCGCTATCTTACTTCTTTGTTTTGTTTAGAATTTATCCTATTGATGAAAAAAAAAAAAAACATTCCTGAAACAAAGAAAGAATGCAAAGGAGAAAGATAATAATATATTATTATAATAAAGAATAAAAAATAAAGTTATTATTTGTTTTATCTTTATCAATAATATTTATCATGAGAAGAAACGCGTATCAGCGCATGCATCCAAAACCAATTATTTCGGGTATTTTCACGTTAAAATATTTACGTTACGTTACATATTGTTTGTTATGAAATTAATAATAGTGCATCAATAATAATAGGCTGTTCTAGAAATAAAATGTTCCTTGAATTTTTAATTCTGGTTGGTTTAAGCAAAATTATTTCCATTTTATCATTTACGCGTTTAAAAAAAAAAAAGAAAAAAACGAAAAAAGATAAATTATTTTATTTCGTACACTCAAACATATTTTTGCATCGGAATTAACTTTAATATAGAAGTAGTAAAATGGCTTGAATGTTATTTTTTTTTTTTTGTAATAATTATAATTATGTTATGTATTTTTT